GTAAGTTGACAATGATGAATATGAAGAATCTTACGAAGAAATATGATTAATGAAAAAGAAAGTAAAATATATTTGATTAAAACACTTTCGTAGATTAAATATTGGTTTGAATAATTAATTTAATAGGCAAAAATTTAGTGAAAAATTAAAATTTTCTTATTCTGCTTTTTTCTTTTTAGAGCATTTTTTAAAAACGAAAATAAAAAGAAATCCATTTTTGGATTTTCTGAAGAAAACATTATGAAGTTCTTGGCATTGCCATTGCCAAATCTTGACTGATCCAACTAGCCGTTGATGAAGGAGGCGTCCAACTAGCCGTTGGTGAAGGAGCGCTCCAACTAGCCGTTGATGAAGGAGGCGTCCAACTAGCCGTTGGTGAAGGAGCGCTCCAACTAGCCGTTGATGAAGGAGCGGCCCAACTAGCCGTTGATGAAGGAGAATTGTGTGTGAGAAGGCCATCCCACATCGGAAAGTAATGGGTGGGGGACAAAAAAAACAGTCTATAAATAAGACCTCATGCCTTGTATTCAGAACAAGCCGAGGGAGAGAGCAAATGCATTGTAACCTTCTGTGATCGTCGTGCTATTGCTATCCGAAAACCACAACCCCTTGATTAAACAACCAATCTTCAACTGTTCCATTGTCGGCAATCTTGTCTGGGATACCATAATCTGGTAAATTCTTGATCCATTGAAAAAGCAATTTTGTCTCATCAAATTACTATTTGATTTATGTTTGTCGAAATATAAAGGTGTACTTGTGGGAGCTATGTTGACGATCACTTGGTATCGTCAACCTAGCTCCCACAATTGCTCCTTTGATCCTCCAATGGCCGTCGCTGTATTTCCCAATCTCCGCTTGGATTCTGTCCCATTCCTGTTGGGCCTCTTGCTTTGATCTCAACAGGAAAAATTGCTGCAGGAGCTCCGGCATTTGGTGTGGACCTTCCACCATCGTTGATGCGCAACGTCGCTTGCACATTCCAGTTGCAGTCGTAATCTCTGAAGCACATCCGTGGCTTGTTTCCCTAGTAATGAAGAACATAAAGGAGGATTGGTAGGTCAGACCCAATAGCCTTGTTTTCATTTTCTTTGTTTCTTGAAGTTCTTCAAGAAATTCATGTGTTTTGGGGTTCTATGCCACCATGTGAATACTTCGTTTGAGTATCCTTGGTCACCTCCATTGTAGGATTCGAATTCGTTGATATGATCCATTAGGAGTTGGAATGTGCAATTTGATGGCTCTATGTGCATTACTCCTGAGTTGAAGAGGGTGCCATTGTTTCCTGTTGTGGAGATCTCTGGCATTCCTAATAAGGTCGGCGTCCATGAAGATCATCTTGTCATAGTCTGTTAGCTGCCATAGCCTGAACTTGCTGTAGTTCCACTCGTTGTATGCATCTTTCTCTGCTTTTGGATTCCTGATTCTTTCCATTGTCCTTATTTTTCCAACCAGCTGGCTCTAGGAGGCCGCTCTTGTGATATGAACTCATCGACTTGTCGACAAGGGTCACGAGGTCCCGTGTCGACCCCGCCATTCGGGAAAATGCTAGAGATTCTGTGAGAGTAGTTAACTATGTGCATTACACAGTGAAATTTTCATTTTCCTAATCTTTTTCTCATTGATTGTTGTGCTGCTTTTGTTTTGTCCTTATTCTCATTATTGAAATGAATTGTCGTTTCTTTCTCCCAACATTCCATGTGGCTGGATTGTGTATGTCTTCTCCTTCCAACTTCACATGGGTATCATATACCAGTTTTTCTCTGGATATCATATACCAGTTTTGATATTTTTCCTATTTGTGTTTGATGATAGAACCTGTTCAAGATCCTTTTATCCTCAAACTTTGCCGATATATCTTTACGATCATTTAAATGGTGGCTTGATTCCACTTTTCTTTCTTGATTTTTCTTTACTAGCATTGCATTTGCAGTGAGGGAAGAGGACTGGGTTGATTTTTCTTTACTAGCATTGCATTGCATTACCTGAAAATCATGGGCTTAGTTCACAGGTACTTCCTTTCCCTAAAGGCGACACTTATCATTTGTGATCCCCTTTGTTTTGGTGCTTTGTACTAAAGGTGATCTTCATACATTCCTTTCCCTAAGTTGACATTTATCACGGTGATCTTCATTCCTAGTAGACTTAGTTCAAGAGACATGGATAGAGGATTTATTGGGTCTCTTTGTTGAATATCTCACTCATAATTTGCTCTTGGTTTCTAAAGCTCTGCTCTCACTTTAGTTTATGAGGTTGATTATATTGTGAATGTTGGTCTGAGCATGAAACATAAAATCATTTCGTGGATTTTTTTAATCAGAAATTGAGCATACTACCAAAGTCAGGCTGGCGGGGCACTTTGGTAATATATGCTCAAGTGTTGGAGGAATATAGTAACTGTATTACTCCAATTGAGCATACATGCTCTTCATTGATGAGTTGCATGGCCGTGGTTACGCTTTTGGATATCAAACGAGCAACTGACATAACATACAAAGCAGTGGCTGAGTATGGTCTGAACCAAACATTGCAACGCTTGCTGGTGGTGGGTAGATAGTTTCATCGATGTGTTAGATTTAGTTATATTGTTTCCTTCGGTGAGTTACTTTGATACGGTAGAAACCATATATTGTTTCCTTGATATAATTGTTACATTGATAGTGAGGATCCCTAGTTATATTGTTTCCTTTGGTATAATAGTTGCATTGATATAACTATTCCTCTTTTTCCCTTTGGTATGATAGTTGCATCGATTTGGTAATTTTTTGGTTATATTATTTCCCTTAGTATAATAGTTGCATTGATACAACTAACCCTTTCTTTCCCTTGGTATAGTTGCATTAATATGGTAGTTCTATTGTTATATTTTGTCTCGATTGTAATTTTGTTACATTGCTTACCAAGGTATAATAGTTGTGTTGATATGACGGTTTCCCTTATTTTCCTTGTACTGCATTGATATGGTAGTTTTTTTTGTTATATTACATTCCTTTGTATAATAGTTGCATTGATATGATTGTTTCCTTGGTTTAATAATTACATTGATACGGTGGTTCCCTAGTTATATTATTTCTTTTGGTATAATAGTTGCATTGATATATGACGGTTGTTCCCCTTCTTTCCCTATAATAGTTGATATTGTAGCTTTTTGGTTATATTGTTTCCCTTGGTATAATAGTTGCATTGATACGACAATACCCCTTCTTTCCCTTGGTATAATAGTTGCATTTGAAAAGTCCTTAACATGCAAAATAATTTGGATTGATCAAGTACGGTCCTCCTTAAGAGAAAAGACTATGCCGATAACTAGTGGAATGATTTTGGTATGTTGATTTTTAGAAAAAGGAGTAGATGACTCTGAGGTCCGAGTCCCTAAAAAAAAGTCTCAATGAAAGAAAAGGGAACGAAACCTCCTAGTTACTAGGTGGGAATCCTTTTCCAAGAAAGGGCAATGGAGGGTCCCCTCCTAGTTAGAAGAACTGTTACTCAAGGTGAAGAAGAACCGCAAGTGCCAAAGGTGTACAGTTTTACCTTATCCTTTGGAATTTTGAAGTAGGTCAATTTTTTTAAAAAAATAAAAATAAAAATTTACTTCGAAAAAGTTAATTCAACAATGATTTGATAAAAAAATATTAAGAGAAATTAAGAATATCAACTTGAACACTAAAGCCGTATGTTGAATCAAGAGCAGACCAATAAACATCTTTATTATAGACACTTTATTTTGTCTCCACTAATAAGGGGCAAGCAGATAGATACGGTAGACATTGTGCGATGCGAAAAGATTTGCTTGGAGAAATAGATGGAACAAGTATCACACGTGTAAAATCTGAAAAAATCTCAGATACTGAAAGTTAATGTACCTTCAATCAAACATGAATAATTTAGTTGACTTTTGATGAGACGAAATTGCTCTTGCAAGGAGGTAATTGTAGCAATTCATTCATTGACAAACACAATTCATCAAATTGAGAATGACCGAAAAGATTGTGATTAACGAATGCAACTATTTTACTAGAAACAATATAACTAGGAACTATCAAATCAATGCAATTATTATACCACGACAACAATATAACTAGAAAACTATTATATCAATGCAACGATTAAACCAAGGAAACAATATCACTAGGGAACAATTATGTCAATGCAACTATTATACCAAGGGAAAGAAGGGAACCAGCCTATCAATGCAACAAGTAAACAATATAACGGGGGAAGAACCATATCAATGCAACTGTTATACCAAGGGAAAGAAGGAGAACTATTATATCAACGCGCAACTATTATACCAAGGGGAACAATATAACCAAAAAGCTATAATATCAATGCAACTATTATACCGAGGGAAAGAAGGGAAACGCTGCAGTGATTGCAAGGAGAAGGAGAAAATGAGGAAGAGATAGATATCATCACTGCTTTCTATTGGGAAGTCTTCCATTTACTGCAGGTACTTCAACGCGCATTTTTAACTTTAGCCACTATGTCTTTTACTATGTTTTCAAAATTTAATCATCAACCCATCATGCACTCAAGATCTTCTAGGATGTTGTTTTCCGAGCCAAAAGAGCTCAAACTCTTTCTTTTTTTTTTTTGAGTTCCCTTTGAATTCATTCCTAGGATGAAAAGGTGTGTTTTTTTTTTGCCTAGCCATATTTAATCATTCGTGCTCATTTCGGATTACCCAATTCATTGTTTTAGGTAGCGATGACAGTATATGATTGCAGTTATAAATAACCACATGAATTCAGGGGAATGGTATTAGGCTGGCCAGCATTAACACTATAACTTAGAAGTCGGTTTGGAACTTGGAAATTGGTTCTTGATTGAACAGACTCTACTGATTTGCAAATACTGATGCCGCCTTTTTATCGAGTCGATCTCGGGATTCGAACGGGATTGTGAATACCTGAAGATTGTAGGTGGAATAGAATAGATTTATAGAAAGATTGTAGTTACTGACTGCGGAGCTGTATGAACAAACATACAGTTTGAACTTGGGAAGTAAAACAAATGTGATGATATATTAGTTTGAACAAACATATGGAGGCCTCGGGGATTTTTCGGGTAAGAAGACGATTTCGTGATCATTCCCGTACGCTAATCTAATAGAAATGAAAAGAATTCTTTGGCCTATAATGAGAAAGCAGTTTCTATATTCATTCTATTACAGCACCTCCAAGCTGATACTGTGAACAATGGACGATCTTGCCAACAAATCATCACACAACCATTCTCTTCCTTCATCCTATAACCATCACAACCATAGCCCTGCAACAGGCTATGTGCCTGCAGCATGCCATAATAACTCAAAGACACATGCCTGAACCCGGCGATATGGAATCGTTGACACCATTTCTCGTGTTTTTCATGTCGTTCCTTCCTCTCTACTCCCTCACAAGCTATGATGTTCTTAATCTCTTCCCCAAATAGCATCTTTTCCAACTTCAACCTCTCCACGGATGTTCTTGACATGTTAGACTCCAAGCAATCAAAAATAGCTGCATAGGTGTGGAGTGCCTCTAGTAATCTCTCCATAAGAGTTGAACCATTGTGGTTACAATCTTGTTCTGTCACAACCATCACCTTCGGCGTCAAGCTCCACAATCCATCCAAAAATCTGTTGATCTTTGTTGCATTAGATTGAGATAGAGCTGATGAGGAAACCGAGTCGGGGCTTGGACTGCACCTGTGAACCAAATCCTTGTCGAGTAACTCACTCAACGAGTATCTCGAGTATTGAACTACATTTGCACTCTTGGCTGCTGATGAAGATGGCTTTTGCAAGACTTCATCAGAGCCCAAAAGGGTGTGCAACTGAAGAACTGAATTGATAGCCAGAGCCTCCCCGGTTTTTACACGAAGCTTTTCGATATCGAGATCCTCAAGTTGGCTGATAACGGAGTTGAATTGAAACGGGATATCCAATTTTTCAGCTACTTCTGTCAACCTAGGAGCCATTTGATCCAGAATCTCCTTCTGTGGATGAACACCGGTGATTCTCAAATGGGGAGGCCCTTCAGGCCTAGCACTCAATACTTGCATAAGTGCAAGCCACTGAGCAGTTTCATTCCCATTAAGATCAATTATATGAATCATCTTTTCCCCCTCCATGGCTTCAACAATAGCTTGATTAGTAAGCACAAAAGCCACCTTGAGAAAAGGAAACATTTCAAAGAACAGTTTCTTAACAAGAATCTCCTCTGAAACCATTGGTATCTTAGTGGAGTTAAAGGCCTTGTAAAGACCAGGCCATGTCTTGAGGACTCGATCCGCAAGAGCCTCGGCGAAGTACGCCGCAATGCGCTGCATTGTATCACCATCAGCAGAAGCAAGATGTGATATTTGATCAAGGGCAAGATTAGCACTGTCAAGTCTACCAACAGCTACATGGTTTGCACAAGTAAGCAAAAAATGGATTAGATACAAACCCCTCTCCTCAGATTTGAGCTCTCTAAGCCATAGATATGGAGAACCCAATTTGGGTGAAAGAGGCATCATTGTGAAGAATTGGAGAGGGGTGGAAGTTATGGTGGATATGCCTTCGTCTTGAATCATTGTTCAAGAACAGAACAGAACCAACGTTGTGGAACAGAGGAGCAAAAAACAGAAAAAAAAAAAGAAGCTGAAGAAGAAAGTGTCGGTACTTGAATTGAGTATGGGGGATTTCCTCTGTTTCCATCATCAATTCAGTTCTTTCCCTCTCTCACTCTCTCTCAGGCCTCCGTTAGATGACTACGTTGTGGACAAAGCGTGGTGGTATGATGGTTTTGTCGTCATTAATGTCTTGTCTTTTACTCTAAAGTGGGGAATATGGAATTTCTGAGAAGCTCAGCCTTCTGTTTTTCTCTTCTCGCTCTGGCTCAAAAGGGGTGGAAAAAACCACTTGCCTCTGTTTTCACCTTTGCCTGAAAAAGGGTTAGCTCTATTATGGTAGGTTTGAACTCAATGATTGGTTTCATCTGTCTTGGATCCTTACAAAAGTGAATCTTTTACCAGCTAATCAGTCCGTTCGAGTTCTTGGTAAGTTTAGCGTTCATTATTGAGTCAGCTAGTAAATTTAGAGAACGTACGCCTTCTCTTTTTATCCGCTTTGACTCATTGAGTATTGCCGTCAGCCTCACAGTTTTAAAACGCGTTTGCTAGGAAGAGATTTTCAACATTATAAAGAATGTTTCGTTCCCCTCTTCAACTGATATTCAATCCACTCCCTAGAGGCTAGCGTCTTCATTGGCAGAGGTGATTGGCTCTAAGCCCCCCCATGATTTTAAAACGTGTTTGCTAGGGAGAGATTTTCACCCGTATAAGGAATGTTTCGTTGTCCTCCCTAACCGATGTGGGATCTCACAATCTACCCCCTTAGGGGCCAGTGTCCTTGCCTGGTGATACCATTTGTAATACCCCAAACCCATTGTAAGTAGATATTGTCTGCTTTGACCCGGTTTGGTCCATTCCTCGAAAGAAGTTTTTACGGGATCCCTATCTACCAAAATTTTGACTTCTGGTTCCGGCAAACGAATAATCATTGAGTCCTCTTTCCAGACAACACATACAAAGAGACCCACCAACACTTAAGTAATTATACTAGGGAGAGGTTTTCACAATTATAAAAAATGTTTCATTCCCTTCTCTAACTGACGTGAGTTCTCACATCTTTAGACATGTCACCAACAACTTAACCATCCATCGATCTTTGCTTCTAAGAGAAAAAGTATTAGATAGCTAGTTGAATACGGGTAAAAACCCGACCATCAACCCCATATAGTAACGACTTCAGTGAATCATTATTTTCACGTGTATCTCTAGTTAAAGTGTTTCTTACATTTTTGTCTTGATGTTTGGTGGAAAAGGAATCAAGGTTAGGGTTTTAATATATTCCCAAAAGAAGGATAAATCCAAACATGCCATAACAAAGACAAAAGGGTAGCCATTGTTGGAGGTTGTTTCCTAGTGGGGCTAAGTGATGGGGTAAATGCAAGAAAGATGAACACCAATGTGCTTCCAAAACCCCAAATTTGTTTGGTTTTGTTTTGTTTTGAAATGGCAATGACCATACACTTTGTATTATCTTCCACTCTATTAAGACAAAAGGACATGGTGGTTCAGCTATCTTCCAAAATTAGATACTACATTCATCCCTACTTCTTCACTCTCATACCCCATTCTCAAAAAGGATCCCCCACTTCCTTTATTTTCTTTTGTTTCTTTTTGTTCTTCCAACTTGCATCCATTTTTGTGACTATGTGCTTGCAATCAATCTCTAAATTTTGTGACTAGGAAACTTTCGATCAAAATTTTGTGACTACGGGTACTTTCAAAAAAATATTTAGGTCTTTGAAAGTTTAATTTTGTGTTAAATGGATCTCTGAGCTTTTAAGAGTGTGTAATAGATCTTAATTTTGTGTTAAATGGATCTCTGAGCTTTCAAAAGTGTGTAATAGATTTTAAACTTTCAATTTTGTGTCTAATAAATGGAAAATTTTTAAATGGATCTTAGCTTTCAAAAGTGTGTAATAGATCTTTTAACTTTGAATTTTGTGTCTAATAGATGGAAAGTTTAATTTTGTGTTAAATGGATCTCTGAACTTTCAAAAGTGTGTAATAGATCTTTGAACTTTCAATTTTGTGTTTAATAGATCCCTAAAATTGTAATTTTTTGTCTAATAGGTGGTGTATTTAATATTTTTTTAAAATTCATGAATCTACCGAACACAAGTAAAAGTTTAATGTTTCATTAGACATAAAATTTCAATTTACATTTATTAAATTAATTAATATATAAAATACTGAATATGTATGAAATGTAAGGGTGTTCATAGGTTGGATTGTGTCAAGTTGTGACATATTTTTAGACCCGGGTAAAATTTTTAACCTAAACCTTTTTGAGTTTAGTGAGTTCAAGTCATTTGTTCAATTTTTTTTTTTTTTTAAGTAAAATGTAGTTTACTTAATTTTAAATATTTAAATGTCTTTTGAAAAATTACCCGATTAAAAATTATTTTTAAGAGTGGAAAGATAACGATGCATTTATGATTTACTTTAAATAATTAATAAATTTGGGTTGATTCATTCAATTTGTAAATTTTTTTTTTTTTTTGTTTATTCGAACTCGACCCAACCTAAATAAATTCATAATCCAACTTACCATATAGGATAGATTTACGCTTAGGTTGATATGATTATTATGGTTTATCGGATTTTTTAGCACTCCTAATGAAAAGTATATGCAATTGAAAATTTAAAACATAAAACATAATTCATATGTGACATATGAAATCAAATCAACTTTAAATCAGAGAACAACAACGAATTTTAATCATATTCAGGTCATTTCTGGCATTTCCATGTTGAATGCAACTTAAATTTCAAAATCCAACAAACTTGATACAATCCTAAGCCTTATAGATAAATATACAGTGAAATTTATGATAAGGTTTCGAGACCAAGCAAAAGGAACTCCCAACAAAAAAATGTAAGGAAAAGGAAGTTCTAAATCAGATAAGCCTCCTTGAACAGCAATCTGAGCTTTCATGCCTTTCAAAGCTAGCGTTCAAGTAAGCAAAGCCTCCCTGAATATTTAAAAGAACACTTAGAAGAAGATCAGATTCTTTTTTTGTATTGAAGTATGTTCTTTCAGTAAGAAATAAAATAAAATTAGACCGTGTCAGATCCCACATCGGGGAGGAGAACAAAACATTCTTTTAAGGGTGTGAAAATCTCACCCTGGTAGACACATTTTAAAAACTTTGAGAGGAGGCTCGAAAGGGAGAGCCCATAGAAAATATTTGCTAGCAGTGGACTTGAGCGGTTACAAATGCTATCAGAGCTAAACATCAGGAGATGTGTCAGCAAGGAGACTGAGACCTGAAGGGGGTGGACATGAAGCGGTGTGTCAGCAAGGACGCTGGGCCTCAAAGGGGGTGGATTGGGGGGTCTCACATCGATTGGAGAAGAGAACGAGTGGCAGCGAGGACACTGGGCCCCAAAGGGGAGTGGATTGTGAGATCCCGCGTCGGTTGGGGAAGAGAACGAAACATTCTTTATAAGGATGTGAAAACCTCTTCTTAACAGACACGTTTTAAAAACCTTGAAAGAAAGTCCGAAAGGGAAGCTCTAAAAAAGACAATATCTACTTGGGGTGGGCTTGGGTGTATGCGGTGTATGCGCTGTTACACCCGGCTAACTTTCAACGAGAGATGTTCATGATACTGTCTTGATGAAGAAATTCACTGATGTGATGTTCATCCCATCCATGAAATCATATTAAACAAGACAATGCTGTAATTGTGATCCAAAACTAAAAGAATTTGAAATGTACCTTCCTCCTATTGCACTCTAAGCTTGGCAAGGGCAACAGCAATCCTAGCACCCACAAGAGCATTGTTCTTTACAAGTGCAATATCTTGGGAAAGTTAAAGAATATCATGAAACAAAACAACAATCCATGTCCAAATAGAACTTAAAAAGGTAAACGAAATAAATAACTTGTTTCGCTTCTTCATCATCATAAAAACTTCATCGTCAACCTAACTCAGCCAGAACATATGCATATTTACTGTGATAAAAATGTTCGCATAGTATGGTAAATTGAAGGATACTCGAAGCGAGGGAGGCTCCTTGAGTGAGTTCATTCACCCTTTTAAGTAAGAAAGGAGTTTCAGCATTTCCCACAATATTCTTCTCCCTGTAATTTGTATATACAAACTGATGAGTCTCAACATAGCTCAACAATTGCCTAGTTGAAGGTTCAAATCTTCGCCTCCAGTTTATAACGCTATACGCTCAATATATAACACAACATAATTACAGATAAGTTCGAAATAAATTTAGAGTTGTCGGTTCATTACCGAGCTTCTTGAAGAGCGCTTTGTATTGCATTCTCAATTAAGCTTCCAGAAGCTGAATGCTCTTTTGGAATTGGAACAGATATCAGAATTCCACTTCCGAGCCCAAGATTCATGTTGGCATCTGCAGAGGAACACAAACAAAAAAGTCATAACAGCATATCACGTTAGATTGCCCATTTAGAAGTCTGTTATTCAATGCTTTAAATCAAGAAAGGTTGAGGGTTCACTAGTGACTTGCCAATAAGCTTTGCAGCCTCTTCTGGGGTATCAACACGACAAGGTGCCTGCATTTCGTACATCATAAACGAAACAAACAAACAAAATCTAGCCCACCAACTGGCGAAAATCTATACCCTATAAATTTACGATGATCTTCAGTTATACGATCGTATATTAGTGACGGTATACCTGGAATACGATACCATCTATACACGGTAAACTACCTAGTCTTCAGAAATGTGTAAAGATCTAGAGGCATAAAGAAGTTTTGGATTCAATACCTTGCAGCCGCTGGTTTCAGTAAAAAATGCAGGAAATTCGTTCGTTCTATAAGCTGCAACACACACTCCCTGAGTTTCCTGTTAATAACATTTTTGGGACGGTGAATTAAAAAGAAAGCTGCACGATGTGTAATAAGGTTGAAGGGAGGGAAATATACAACTATACCAAATATTCAAGAGTCCTGGGGATATCTAATATCGATTTTACGCCAGCTGAGATGACTGCTACAGGTGTTCTTCCTAGCTCAGTGAGATCAGAAGATATATCCATCGCTGCAAAAAGCGGTCGAAAACAAGTAAATAAGATGGAAAAAGTTAATCATGGGTTTGTTGTCGTTCGTCCATACATAAGTATCTTACTTTTTTCACCATGTCTATGGACTCCTCCAATGCCCCCAGTCACAAACACAGGGATGCCAACCTATAATAAATTTCCATGTACAGAACCGGTGAAAAGGTTCGAAAATCGAACAATTGAGAAGTGTGTTACTGAATACGATGTGCTCACCCTAGAAGCAAAGAACATTGTTGCAGAAACAGTAGTAGCACCATTTCCTTTGCCAGCAACCTTATAAGTCGTCACAAGATAGGAAATAATTATCCACGTAGAAACGACACAACTCAAAAAACAGTACCACGTAGTTTATAACAGATCCATGCTCGTATGGTTAAAAATAATGGAGAAAAGAAAAGGAAAGAATTATTATATCATACAACTATCAAGATCGATATTTTTATGGCAACTATTCAAATATACAATTTCAGTTCAAGCCTTGGATAATTTCTGAATGTAAAACCAGTAACATACAACCAGAAGAAATTTTGGACCTGGTGTTTCTTTACATTTCTAATAAGAATATTGGTGATTAATAACAAAAGAAAGGTACTTTAAGAACTAAAAAATGTTTGAAAGTTAAATAATGTTTAGATTGTATCCTAAAGCATGAGTTACTCTGCTGTTCATAAAAGATGGAATTAGTACCAGCGAAAAGAAGAGTAATTGACAAGGTTCAATGCCACTCAGGATGAATCAACAAAAAAACATAATAGCTAAACTAATACTCACAACTTGTGCTATGTCCCTCCTAGCCGTCTTTCGAACTCGGGTTCCTAGAATACTCAACCTCTCCAATTCTTCCTCGTTCAGGCCTGCATACATAGAGCCCCACAGAATTAGAAATTTAAAGGTGAAAAAAGTACCAACCAATGAGATAATCGGTCGGGAAGGAAAACAAAAGAAAAAGATAAAAAAAAAAAGAAAGAGAGAAGAGTTTTGAAGGTTTTAATTCTGAATGAATACTTTTACTAAGGAAGTGAAATTAGTACAAGCATTGAATAAGAAACGCTAAAATGAAACCTATACCAAGGTAGAAAAGGGTTGCAAAAAGAAAATAATCGTATGCCACTTGCCATCTACCTCAAGAAGCGTATTTTGAAGATTCTTGTAACGACGCTGACAGATGTTGTAAATGGCCATTGTTCCAATTTATTGCATTCAAAGGTTTTGTTCTCAAAAACAATTTTATCCCTTGCAACTTCCACCATGAAAATTGTCACAATGCCACATTCAAAGTGTAATGACCCAAGCCCACTACTAGCAGATTCTTTGGGCTTTTCCTCTTAGGCTTTCCCTCAAGGTTTTTATAAGGCGTCTGCTAGGGAGAGGTTTCCACACCCTTATAAAGAATGCTTCGTTCTCCCCCCCAACCGATGTGGGATCTCACACCAAGAAAAAATTTTCATTAAAGCTCCTTTTAAAACAGTGTCACAATTGCAGAGATGAACCCATAAGATACAAAACAACAGGAAAATTTAACTCTGCACACAGAAGGTGAAATGGATGCATAAGAATATAGCTTAAAGTGCTCATACTTCACAAATTTCAACAGTTAAAGGACGCAACAATTAGAAAAAAAGTTCATAGCACCCTGACACATGGATACCACTAAAGCATCGATGACCATTCAAAGAATTAGTTACACCATACGGTGAATGTATTAGAACATGAGCTAGAGGAACATTTCATGAACAGATAAATCAAGAGATCAAGGCTAATTCAAGCTCTTCAATCCAAATGGACTAGATCAAATGATAGAGATGGTTAAATCCTCGAAGAGAGGGGTTCCTTTGATTATGATTAGAAATTTGCTCCATGGTAAGGATAAATTGTATACAATGTGACTATCATAAGCACAGTAAGGATCGACAGGTATAGAGATTGAGTAGTTAATAAACACCTACGCATGGTGTGCCATCTAAAATTGCTACAGTTGCAGGAAATGCTCCATTCTTCCTCACTATTGCTTCTACTTCCTTTGCAGTTTCCAGATTTTGCGGATATGGCATACCTACATACAAAGAGACAAAACAACAGAAAGATGTCAACCACTTCACAATGAATAAAAATAATTTTCCCAATGAATGCTAAAAAAACTGAAAAAATTTATGCTCATTAGTTTTTTAATATCCAAAAATAGTCAACCTTCTCTAGTTTTCCTGCTTTGAAATCAAGAAGACTACTGGATCCTACAACCTAAGTCATCAAAACTGAACATTCATTAGTCACTTAGTAAAGGAAAAAGATCCACATCAATCCTAAAAGATTTGCTACCCCAAGGAAAGAAATCTGCATGTAAAAGAGAAATGAAAAAATCATTGTGCAGTCTCAGTGAGCTTGAAATGGGTAGACAGCAAGGGTGGTGAAAGACAGATGGCATACATTACATCAGCAGTCTGCATGCCAAAATGCAGTGCAGTGTGCACAAGAAAAGATAGCAGAGGTAGACGCAGCTGGGTAGTCTGGCAGCAGCAGAGACACCTGTGAGGACAGTCTGCTTACTGCTAAAGCATCACTTGAGAGGCTAGACCGTAAGTTGCACAAGAAAGGTATAGTCAACTAATATAGCAGTTCCTTCAACCAAAAACACCACACAACTCTTTCAAATCTACTTCAAACTCAAGAACAAATAAACCAGAAAAATTTCAGTTTGCTAACTACAACAATGGCACCGAGAATTAGAAGGAAGCAAGAAGAGCTTGAAGGTGCAACACCAACACAATGGGAAAATATAGAAACACCAGCAAGAGTACGAGCGTCTAGCCCATCAAAACAAGTGACTTTGATGACAGACCATCTCCCATCCAAGGTCGGTAATGGCATTTAGAAAAGATTCAAGAAATATAGGATATATATTACAGGGAACCTCCTTTCCAGCAACCCTGCTCTTGAACTGAGGAGCTCTTACTTGTTGTACACCTCCTCGGTTGAAAATCTTTCTATTTATGTCGTAGGGTTCCTCATTTTGTTTGTTCCCTTCCCCTTCCTTTTCGATCCGGGGATAGTGAGGAAGGAGTCTTGATTTATCTCTTCTAACTCATCTTGTTGCACTTCTCTCCTTCCTCGCACCGCCTTTTCGATCCGGAGCTCGTACTTGTTATATGCCTCCTCAGTTGCAAATCTTTCTATTTGTGTCGTAGAGTTCCTCATTTTGTTCTTTCCCTTTCCCTTCCTTTTCAATCCGGGGCTAGTGAGAAAGGAATCTTGATTATCTCATGTAACTCATCTTGTTGCACTTCTCTCCTTCTTCTATCTCTTCTAGGCTACGAGCTCCTCAATTCAAGAGTAGTGTTGCTGGAAAGGAGGTTTCCCGTAATATATCCTACATTTCCTGAATCCTTTCTAAATGTCATTACCTACCTCGGATGGGAGATGTTCTATCATCAAAGTCACTTGTTTGGATGAGTTAGACGCTCGTACTCTTACTGGTGTTTCTATATTTTCTCATTGTGTTGTGTTGCACCTTCTCAAGCTCCTCTTGCACAGCTTGCTTCCCTCTAGCTCATTGTTGTAGTTTGCAAGCTGAATTTTTTGGTTTGTTTGTTCTTGAGTTTTAAGGAGATTGGAAAGAGTTGTGTGGTGTTTTTGGTTGAAGGGGCTGCTATATAGTTGACTCTATACCTTTTTTGTGCAACTTTCGGTCTAGCCTCTCAAGAGATGGTTCAGCAGTGAGCAGACTTCCCTCACAGGTGCCTCTGCTGCTGCTGCTGCCAGACTACCCAGCTGCAGACTGCACTACTCAGCTGTTGCTGCCTCTACTGTCTTTCTGTTGTCTTTTTTTGTGCAGACTGCACTCCATTTTAGCATGCAGCCTGCTGCTGTAATGTATGCAGTCTGTCTTACACCAACTTTGCTGTCTACTCATTTCAAGCTCACCGAGACTGCACAAGAATTTCTTTTTTTCATTTCTATTTTCCATGCAGATTTCTTTCCTTGAGGGTGGATCTTTGTCCTCAAAATTTTCCCTTGGTGGTGGTGATTTGACTACCCAATTATCGGGATGACATGGAAAGCAATTCAGAAAGCAAATTCTCGAGTAAAACCAATGATTTTCAAATGCAATAATTCTTACTCTGATAATCATACACAATATTAGTGTTCAATTAGTCACTTCATTTCGTTTCTTTATGTCCACATTATTCCCTCTTTTGTCCAATTTTCTACAGGATTCAACTCATCAGAGAACCAAAGCTAGGTGATCATGATCATGAAATGATATCCAAAACAGGGATACGACACGAAATGGAAGACGGCACATTCATTATTTTCTTGAAATCTAGCATATAGACAGAGTAAGAACTCGTTCATTAAAATATACACTTCTTAAACTATATCATTTTCATACAAAAAAGTAAATCCAAAGTCAATGAGTTCAAGCATTTATATGCATAAATAATTAGTTCGGCCTATTTCGCTCTCAAAATTTATTATTTTTGTCATATATGTGTCTATTTAGTATACTTAACAAGCGTTTGATACATGTTCAACAAATGTCCCATTCATGTCCAATGAGTACCAGATTATCCAGGACACGGTAATTAAATTAAAGTGTTTATGCTTCTTAGGTTTAGACAAAAGAGGTTCTAGGGTTTCAAATACTTCAACGAAAAACCAAAAGCCACCGCAATCAAACAATTGAAATGGCAAAAGAAAATCAGAGTCACCATGAGAGATGATGGTTGATTCGAGGGCAACAACAGGATGCCCGCGCGACATGGCAGCAGAAACTTCGGTGGATATCTTAATTAGGCCTCGAAATGGAGCGTCAATGGCACCCTTCAACATTGATGAGATAATAAGCAAAAAAGCTGGAAAAAGTGGTTTCAAGAGATTGTTTTGATGATTCTGACCTGTGGATTATCGCTGCTCTTCGAGTCTGATGGGTGAAAATGTCTACTGAGATTAGATATTCTTGAGAGAGCTGAAGAAGAAGACGACGACGAAGACGCCATTGTTCTTTTCTCCGAATGAAAACCAGAGCAGCGTGTCCAGGGCAGTGTTTTTATTTGTTATTTCAATATTTACCTCGCACTGTAAATTTACTTTTAACAGAGGTAATTATTTCTTCCTAATTCGTCAATACTTTGTTCAACCAAGTTCACCTACCATCACCTACCAGCCTATACGCCAGCTAATTTAGGGAATGATCATGAATTTATAAACAAACTCTCCACATTGGTAACGAAACATTCTGTGGAAGCCCAAAACAAAGCCACGAGAGCCTATGACAATATCATATCATCGTGGAGTGTAGAGTCGTGTTCGTCCATCAGTTATGTATCACCTAGTGTCCACCTCACGATTTTAAAACGCGTCTATTAGAGAGATATTTCCACACTCTTATAAGTGTTTCGTTATCCTTTCTAATCGATCCAATCGATGGTGTAAGATCTGATAAAAATTATTTTTAACTTAATGGTATCAATTTCAAAGGACTCGATCCTTTTGCTACCTGCACTGAACGATACAAGATGAAGATTCAAACGTTTGTCACATTAATTCCTTTAACAATTGAACTATTCCGTACATAACAACGATTTGTCGATGGGTTATTTTTCTTTTGTGCTAATACCATCAAGACAACCTAAGCCAATTTTTCATTTCTACGAAAATTAACCAAGCAATCAAGGAAGGAAATCTTGGTAGAGCTTTTCCGAAAGTAGTAAAGCATTGAAACCGTGAGATCCTACATTGATGGAGGTGGAGAACGAAGCATTTTTTATAAGGGTGTGGAAACGTTTCCCTAGTAGATACATTTTAAAACCCTCTTAGGGAAGGCCGAAAGGAAAAACCCAAAGAAGACAGTAGCTGCTAGCGGATATTTGCCTTCGGAGCTGATTGATTACTCTTCGACTCCACCTTTTTGACCTCCAAATCACCACTCGCCATACTTTGTACATACAACTTCAGAATCCTCATGAGCGTTCCCATAAAAAATATACAGAATCTCGAGAAACCTATCGACCTTATGCAGAGATTTACCTTTGGAATCTCGTCAAATGTGACGACTCTTCCGACTTCAACATTGTCTTTAACCCTTGCTCTAGGTTTCCCCTTCTACTTCTTGGGTTACACATATTCTCGTGGGAGCCAAGGCAGCATCATCGCTAAGCGACGATCCCTCTTCATGAGTTAGACATTCTCGCCGAAGCTAAGGTAGCAACGCTGCTGAGTGACGATCCCTCTACATTTTTCAATGGGCAAGAAAGTGTTTCTCTACGTCTCCTCCGAACCAGGTTGTTGACATCTTAACAAAAAATGTTTCTCGACCTCTCTTTGAATTTTTCAGATCTAAGCGTCACGTTTGTTCAAATCCGACACTTAGCTAGTACTTAATTATATTTGATATTTTATTAAAAGCAAATATCTAACGGGCAACTATCTTTCCATTTATTACTTTTTTTTTTTTATATCCTTCTAATTTATTTAATTATAAATAGAGAACTTTCACGGGTGAGAAGTGGTTTCAGCAAACATTCTCACCTCTTTCCAGTAGATGCATTTTAAAACCGTCTTAGAGAAAACCGAAAAGAAAAGCACAAAAAAGACAATATCGGCTAGCAGTGGACTTGAGCTGTTACAAAAACATTTGCCGATCTCCATAGATGGGGGTGGCTCACCGTGATCCGTTCCCTATCTCTATCTCCAAGTCCCTTTTGAGTTCTCTAAATGTTATATAGAAATTTAATGACAAAACTCAGATTTTGACACAAAATTCAAAAACTGTGCCTCATAATGGAGAGCCAAGGATGATAGACACCACCAAACTTTGAGCTCAGTCTAATATACAGCTTACATAATACCTACACCAATTCACTTCTGTATGGAAGAGAACTAATAACATCAGCTTTTGGTCAAGTCTCCAATGAATTCACCTCTTTTATCCCAAGGTCGATGCTCGTACGACTTCCCAGCCATACTGCGTTTCGTGTTCACGGTACCATCCTCACAGTAGTACTCTGGAAAGTAATCCAGAAACCTTTTGCTTCCGAGCTCGTCGACACCGTTGAACAGGAAATTTCTCACCAAGTCCTAATGGTTAGATGTGAAGTGAGAAAACGAAGCTGAAACGATTCAAGAACACGGACAGATATCGTCGATGTTCATTACCTTTGCGAGTGTCTCCCCGATTAATTTTTTTAGAAGACCGTGTCCCGGATCCTGTTTTGCCAATGTTGCATCAATAAAGTTAGCAAATAAATGATCTCGTTGTTATCCAGCTAAGTTTTAGTAATATCCCACATCGATGGGAGAGGAGAACGAAGCAGTCCTTATAAGGGTGTGGAAACCTCTTCCTAGCATACGTGTTTTAAAAACCATGAGACAGACACATCGATGGGAGAGGAGAACGAAGCAGTCCTTATAAGGGTGTGGAAACCTCTTCCTAGCATACGTGTTTTAAAAACCATGAGACAGACAAAGATACGTAACAAGCCAAAACAGACAATATCTGTTATCGGTGGGCTTGGACTGTTACAGTTTTAGTAATATCCCTCGATCTCAGTAGCTAAGTCAGAAATTTATGTAAACATAAAAGGAAAGAAGAAGAGACCTTTTCTGCCCTCCACGACAGGTATCTGTGTTGCGCTTCTCGGTTAACCATAAGTCGAGACGGGATCGTTTCCTCCGCAGCATTGTGCACGAGCTCAAGCCATGCCTAGAAGTACATTGGAACATTCAGTAAATCTTCAAAAAACAAAGCTAGAGATCGCCCCGATGGGGTTGATGTTTATCATAGCAGCGGTTTAGTTAACTTCAACAACCTTGTAGTAATCCACGAATGCCGAAAACAATACATCATACGTCGACTCGGTTGAGGAAGACTTGGTCCATATCACAATGGGAGAGAAAAATTTCAACGACTCACTCGTAAGCTTTCCGCCCCAGGGTAAGAGCTGCAAGAAGTCTGTTTTCAGTAATCATCACATCAAATTTAGAACATTCACCTGATATCTCGAAACAAGTCGAGTGTGCCTGCGGTCGTAACGTAACCGATATCTTGAAAAATAAACATTCACCTCAGCATATTTGGTTCCAAGATGCATTAAGCTTTTGTAGTACTTCTCCCTATAATCTCTTTGGTTGATGACATCATGCAAAGGGTTGAGATCCCTACAAAAAGAACATTATATTTAGTGTAGGTTCGAGCAAGAACAAGAACGTTACGGAGCACGATTTGATGTATGCGTCTGAAGCCATTGGCGTTTGCTTTAAGACCCCGGCTCGATGCATAAACGAGCCGAACTTATGTCAATCCAAATCAACTTTCTTTCCAGGTATGTGATTGAGATTTCTAAAACAGTTACTTATTCGATCGATTCTCGTTATTTTAATTGTCGTTCACGTCTTTCTAAAGTCTCTAACAAGTGCTTAAAAACAAAAACTAGAGCAAGCTCACTAAATCAGAAGACAAGATGCTCACTTTCTTTTGTCTATATAACTTATTGTAACAGCCCAAGTCTACCGCTAGTAGATATTGTTCTCTTTAGCCCGTTACATATCGTCATCAGTCTCACGGTTTTAAAACGGGTTTGCTAGGGAGAGGTTTCCACACCCTTTTAAAGAATGCTTCGTTCCCCTCTCCAACCGATATGGGATTTGGGATCTCACAATCCACCCCCTTCAGGACCCAGCATCCTCACTGACACACCACTGGATGTCCACCCCCTCTTTAGGGCTCAGCCTCCGAGTTGGCACATCGCCCATTGTCTGGCTCTAATACCATTTGTAACAGCTCAAGCCCACCGCTAGCAAATATTGTCCTCTTTGGCTCGTTACGTATTTCCATAAGCCTCAAGATTTTAAAACTCGTCTGCTAGGGAGAGGTTTCCACATCCTTATAAAGAATGTTTCGTTCCCCTCTGCAAAGATGTGGGATCTGGGATCTCACACTTACTAAGACTATTGAGTGTCGGAAAAATAGCAGATGAGTACATTTACGCATATACAGGTGGCCGATAAGAATCGAATGAGCAATTCTTGTGGTTTCGTGACGTACTTTAGACCAAGATTGATTGGTCATCAAACTTTTTTGTGTGTGTTCGTGTAAGAAACCGAACTTTTATCGAGAAAAATGAAAGAATACAAGAGCATACAAAAAACGAGCCCCGAGAATATAGAAGTCGATAACTTAAAAAATTTACTATATCCTATCAGGCTCCAAAGTTCAGGGAAGCTTACAGTACTACTATACTTGAACTTGCAGCAGTGAAGATATTTGCACAAAATATGGGAACATCAAATTCTGTCTCTGGGAATGCAGCAAAATCTAAAACCTGCACCATAAATGAAACAGGTTTTGGAGTGAATTTCAGCTGTTTAAGGTTTTCATTTCTAAACCACTGAAAAAAGTAGGAAAATAAGAATTATGTTATCATTGATACTAATTTCTACGATGAGTTTCTACGAAGAATAGCTATCTGGGTCGATATTCTCATTATAACAGCTCCACCGCTAGCAGATATTGTCTTCTTTGAACTTTCCTTTTCGGGCTTCCCCTCAAAATTTTTAAAACACGTATGTTAGGGAGAGGTTTCCACACCCTTATAAAGAATGTTTTGTTCCCCTCTCCGACCGATATGGGATCTCACAATCCACCCCCCTTTTGAGGCCTAGCGTCCTTGCTAGTACACTACCTGGTGTCCACCCGTTTCGGAGTTTAGCCTCCTTGCTGGCACATCGCCCGGTGTCTGGCTCTGATACCATTTGTAACAGTCCAAGCTCACCGCTAGCAGATATTGTCCTCTTTGGCGTTTTCCTTTCAGGCTTCCCCTCAAGGTTTTTAAAACGCGTCTGCTAGGGAGTGGTTTCCACACCCTTATAAAGAATGTTTTGTTCTTTTCTCCAACTGATGTGGGATCTCACAATTCATTCCCCTTTGGGGTTCAACCTCCTTGCTGGCACATCACCCGGTGTCTTGCTCTGATACCATTTGTAACAGCCCAAGTCCACCGCCAGCATATACTGTCCTCTTTGGGCTTTCCCTTTCGGGGTTTCCCTCAAGGTTTTTAAAATGCGTCTCCTAGGAAGAGATTTCCACACCCTTATAAAAAATGTTTGTTCCCCTCTCCAACCGATGTGGGATCTCACAATTCACCCCCTTCGGAGTTCAACCTCCTTACTAGCACATCGCCCAGTATCTGGCTCTAATACCATTTGTAACAACCTGAGCCCATCACTAGCAGATATTGTTCTATCTAGGCTTTCCCATTCGAGCTTCCCCTCAAGGTTTTTAAAACGCGTCTGCTAAGGAGAGGTTTCCACACCCTTATAAAGAATGTTTTGTTCTCCTCTCCAACCGATTTGAGATCTCACACTCGTAACCATAACCAAAGGACTTTCAAGTCTATGAATGAGACCAAGCCTCTCATCATCATCAAAGTACAATACTATCTTGGGTTAACTAGCAAATTCATATACTTTAGAGCCCCAAGGAATGCTTTCTCAAGGGATGCTTCTTCTTTTCTACCATTTTTTTAAACTAATATGAACTAAGGCATCAAATATTCTTACTTTAGAGGGTCAAAATATAAAGTAAAACCTGCATTGTTTCACTCTCAATATTTAAACTGCGAAGTAGTCTGATCTTTGGAGCTTGGAAAGATAACATTTCAAGCTTTACTTTTTTGTCCATTGAAATCATGGAATTATACTTTTCCTGCAGAATAAGAACAATTGTATTATTACGATGGCGGGAATAATGATTCGTGTTTGAATTCATGCAATTTCAGAACAAATTATTGATAGAGCTTTAAGAACTTCAACCAGAATCATATCAAGTATGCTGATGCTGACAGCAAAGATATAGTAGACGTTTATAACACAACCATCTATGAGGCTGTTCTAACACATCAAGTTCAAACCTCTTTACATAGAATCAATAAAAACCCTTGATACAAAATGGGTGGGCTTGAGCCGTTACACTGGGCGATGTGTAAGCGAGGATGCTAGACCCCAAGGGAAGTGGATTTGTGAGATCCCACGTCAATTGGAGAGGGGAATGAAATATTCCTTATAAGGGAGTGACAACCTCTCCCCAGCAGACTCGTTTTAAAAACCTTGAGGAGAAGTCTAGAAAGGAAACTCAAAGAGAATAATATATGCTAGCGGTGGGCTTGGGCTGTTACAAATGGTACTAAAGCCAAACACCGGGCGGTGTGCCAACGAGGATACTTGGCCCCCAAGGAGAGTGGATTATGAGATCCCATATCGGTTGGAGAAGGGAACGAAGTCTTCCTTATAAAGGCATGGAAACCTCTCTCTAGCAGAGTGGTTTTAAAAATCGTAAGGGGAAACCCAGGAGTGAAAGTCCAAAAGGGCGATGAGCTTAGGCCGTTATAAATGATATTAGAGCAAGACATCAGACTGTGTGCTAGCGAGAACGTTAGCTCCTAAAGAGAGTGGATTGTGAGATCCCACATCGGTTGGAGAGCGGAACAAAACATACCTTATAAAAATGTGAAAAACTCTCCTTGCTTAATAGACGCGTTTTAAAAATTTGAAGGGAAAGCCAAGGAATGAAAGTCCAAAAAGACAATATTTACTAGCGGTGGGCATGAACCATTACAAATGGTATCAGAGCCCGACACTGGACAGTATACCAATGAGGACGTTGGCCTCCAAAGATAGTGGATTTTGAGATCCTATCTCGGTTGGAAATCTCTTCCGAGCAGACGCATTTTAAAAAATTTGAGGGAAAGCGAAAAGAGATTAGACTGCATACAGAGAGAAAACAAGTACCAATCTGGGGAGAAGAACAGCCAAAGTGTTTTGGAGCCATTACAAAGCAAAACAGAGCAAAGAAGCTGAATTGAATCAAAAGCAAAAGAGGCAAGAACACAAACCATTGAAGTAACCCATTACCTGTAAAGGCGAAGGGAAGAGATGGGTATGAAGTTTGGTTTCATCCAAAGCGAATTGCACAAATTTCCGATAAGAAATTGCAGAAACAGGGATGAAAGCTGTTCTACACTTGTTCTTACTGCTACAGCTGCTTGAAACCAGTGGAGAGTTGAAGGAAAGGCAAAAGGATAGAGTAGAACACGAAGCCATAGCAGGAAAGCTTCCAAAGAAGATTGAGTAGCAGCATTTGGGTTACCAAAATCCCATTTTTCTACCTCTCACAGGATCTACCGCTGGGGTTTGAGCTGCAGGAGAGCTCGGATGTTGGATTCTGTATCGACCCACGTCGCCAAATTGGTGACATCAACTAAAAAGTGTAATTGAAAGTAAAGAAATCGGGGAATCCACATGCTTTGCTTTGATCTTCTTTGGCTTAAACTATAATACTTGTTAAATTTGTGTTCATAAATTATAATTTTTTTGAATACCTCTTTAGCTTTTAATTATAATATCTAGTAATTTTTAATTAATGTTTTTAAAAACCAAATCAAAATTTTAAAATTATGTTATATAAATGATATGTAATTATCCCGACAAGTATGGTGACTCTGGCCTGCTCGTCTCAACTTCCCTGAATGGTGTCAATTTTCATTAGTTTGGATGAAGTTTTTGGGACTCGTTTATGTACCATCAGAGAATTGGTACAGTTAAGTAAAATGAGTTAAATGTTTATATTGGCATAAAGAGGATATGTTTTAGGTTTAGGTTTCACACGTTCACGTGACATATCTAGATCGTGTGCATGCTTGTTTGACTCCATTACTTGATGTTTTTTTTATAGACGAGTGTTGAGTCAGTTGATGATTGTCATGGTGTGAGATTCCACGTTAGTTGGAGAGGGGAACAATACATTTTTGATAAGGGTGTGGAAACTTTTTTTTTTTTAGTAGACGCGTTTTACAACCGTGAGATTGACAACGAGGATATAAACGGGCCAAAGCAGACAATATCTTCTAGTGGTGGACTTAGACTGTTACAACTGATATCAAAGCCAGACACTAAGTGATATGCCAGCGAAGATACTAGCCTCAAGGGGCGGATTATGAGATCTCACACCAGTTAGGAGACACAAAGCATTCCTTATAACGATATGGAAATCTATCCCTATTAGACGCATTTTAAAACCTTGAGGTCGACAACAGCATATAACGAAATAGACCATATCTACTAGTGGTGGGCTTGAACTGTTACACATATATCAATGTCTAAATTTTATTGTATTTCAATTCTTTTCAATATTTCCATTAGGATCTAAATATGGATGTTCACGGGTTGGGTTGGTGACCTGAAGACAGTTCACAACCTTAATTAAACCGTGTCGTTGGATGGTTCGTCAAATATCAAATATTATAATCTTTCGAATATTGTTTGAGATTATAACTATGACTTCAGTCAACCATGCTGACATCAAAATATATGTTCTTAGCCTCTAGATGGGAGCGAATCGAAAATTTTCTAATGACATTTTACGGTTTGAATTATCGTAGGTATAATCTCTCAGTCTCGGAAATTTGAGAATATAAGTATATTTTGAAAAATATCAAAATATATAACCGAAGTATTGTTTTTTTTACAGAGCATTGGAGATGAAGAAAATGCAACTTAATTGTATGGGCATGACAGATAAACTAAATCCTTGAAGGAATGAGAGGGATGTTATTTTGCAAGTATGCACTAGCTGCAGCAACTCCACTCCCTAGCTTAATAGGGTACCCTACATCTTTGAGTATCATTTCCACACCAGCAAGACATCCCAACAATTGCAGCTGATACACAATGAGAAAGCAATGCATAAATGGTTAAACCTCCTTGCTCAAACAAAATTTTTACGAGTTAGAGACGAGAAATAAGAAACGAGAGTGTTACTAAACAAGCTCGACGTTCTTTAGGTCAATTCATGGTCATGTTTGAACAAAGCATGCCAAGAAACAGAAGATTTGCAGTTTAACTACGAAGAGAAGACAATGTTTGTCAAGTTCGAGAAAGCAGGAGTGTGAGATCCCACCTCGGTTGGGGGAGGAGAACGAAACATTCTAGGGTGTGGAAACCTCTCCCTAGCAGACGCGTTTTAAAAACCTTGAGGGAAAGCTCGAAAGGAAAAGCCCAAAGAGGACAATATCTGCTAGCAGTGGGCTTGGGCCGTTACAAATGGTATCTGAGCTAAACACCGAGCGATGTGCCAACGAGGAGACTCAACCCTGGGGGGAGTGGACACGGACGGTGTGCCAGTAAGGATGCTGGGTCTAGGAAGGGGGTGGATTGGGGGTTGTACATCGATTGGAGAAGGGAACGAGTGTCAGCGAGAACGCTGGCCCCGAAGGGGAGTGAATTGTGAGATCTCACATTGGTTGGGGAGGAGAACGAAACATTCTACGGTGTGAAAACTTCTCTCTAGCAGACACATTTTAAAAACTTTGAGGGAAAGGCCAAAGAAGACAATATCTACTAGCGACGGGCTTGGACCGTTACAAATGGTATCAGAGCCAAACACCGGGTGATGTGCCAGCGAGGAGACTCAACCTCAAAGGGCAGTGTGCCAGCAAGGACGCTGGGCCCTGAAAGGGGGTGGATTGGGAGATTCCACATCGATTGGAGAAGAGAATGAGTGCCAGAGAGGACGTTAGGCCTCGAAGGGGAGTGAATTGTGAGATCCCACGTCGGTTGAGGAGGAGACTGAAACATTCTAGGTTGTGGAAACCTTTCCCTAGCAGTCGTGTTTTAAAAACCTTAAGGGGACGCCCAATAGGGAAACCCAAAGAGGACAATATCTGCTAGCGATGGGCTTAGGCCATTACAGGGAGAATCTAAAAACGTCGAAAAAGTAGTTCGTTGCAGCGTTTAGGAGACATTAGTGTTTGTAAGAAAGCTATGATTTACCTCATTAAGGTTTCCAAGGTGACCAATTCTAAAGACTTTGCCAGCAACTTTGTTGAGTCCAAGTCCCAAGCTCAAATTGTATCTCTTCCATGCCCTTCTCACAATTTCTGAACTGTCAATATAAGAAGGAACAAGCACAGCAGTCACAGTATCACTGTACCATTCCTCTTTTTGTGTACAGTTCTTCAACCCCCAAGCCTCCACAGCAAGCCTACATTTCAATTTCACCGACAAAATAGTTTCAAAACACAGCTAACACAATGAAGTTTCAGGTAATTCACTGATACGCTACCTCGTCGCTTTGCCGAGACGGCTGTGTCGAGCAATCACATTGTCGATACCTTCCTCGAAAAGAAGATCCAGAGCTGCCCTTAGTCCATACAAGAGCTGAATGGAAGGAGTGTATGGCCAATATGTTCCTAGTTTGTAGAATTTGAGGTAGTCTTTCCAGTCAAAGAAAACCTTAACTGATGTCGAAGTTTTGGACGCCTCGAGCGCTTTCGGGCTGGCACATATGATTCCAATTCCTGTTGGGAGAGAAAGAGCCTTTTGGGAACCGGTTAAAGCGACGTCGACTCCCCATTCATCCATCCGAAAATCAAGTGCACATATCGACGACACTCCATCGACCAGCAAAAGTGCAGGATGCTTGTACTTATCTGTGAGTTCGTTTTCAAAACTTATCTTTATTTTCGGGAACCATAGTAAAGAAACGGTAAGAAAACAAAAACAAGCACAATTTTCAAAAATAAAATGAACCGAGGGAGAGGGAGGGGCAGTTGCTCCGCTCCTTCTTTGTTCCTCTTTGCTTACCAAGTAGGAACCGAACTTTAGACAAGTCGTTCGTGACGCCCGTGGCTGTCTCGTTATGTACAATGCAAATCGCCTTAATCGTATGCCCGCCATCCTCAGCAAGCTTCGATTCCAGGACATCAAGATTGGCACCCTGGCCCCATTCGCTCTCCACGACATCAACGTTGAAGTTAAGGCGCTGCTGCTGATCAATCCATAGCAAACTAAACTGGCCAATCAGAAAGGACACAATCCTATCTCCAGGAGACAGTGTGTTTGTAAGAGCACTTTCCCAGGCACCAGTACCTGAGACAAAAACATGAAAAATTAACGTAGGACGTTGTTGTCGTTTTTGTTCTTCAAACTTGAGGGAAGGAAAGTTACCAGTTGTGGGAATCATAAATGGGGTTCCAGTAGTAGATTTGAAAATCTTCTTCACATCTTCAAGAAGAGTTTTAGTCAATGCAGGAATAGCAGGAGAACGATAATCCTCATTGTTTCGGTTCATCGCCCGCAGAACTGGTTCCGGTATGTTGACCGGCCCCGGGACGAACAGATGGTTTTTTCCAGGTGCATATACATAATCCATTTTCCTTCTTAAAATTCTGTCAGTTTTCAGCTACAGATATAGAAAGAGTATATTAGATTAGTATTTGTTCATTTCGTCTTTGAACATTCAACTGTTTTGATTGCATCCCAAACTTTCGATTTTAGTCCTAACTTATTTGATAAGATGTTCCATGTAACCACCCAAACTCACTGCTACTAGATATTGTCCGTTTTGGTCCGTTACATATCGCTGTCAGCCTCACGATTTTAAACGCGCCTACTAGGGAGAGGTTTCCACACCCTTATAAGGAATGTTTCGTTCCCATCAGCCTCACGGTTTTAGGACGCATCTACTAGGGAGAGGTTTCCACACCCTTATAAGGAATGTTTCGTTTCCCTCTCCAACAAATGTGGAGTCTCACAATCCACCCCCTTTGGGAGCCCAGCGTCGCACTCCGCCCAGTGTCTATCTCTAATACCATTTGTAACAGCCCAATCCCACCGCTAGCAGATATTGTCCTCTTTGAGCTTCCCCTCAAGGTTTTTAAAACGCGTTTGCTAGAGAGAAATTTCCACACCCTTATAAAGAATGTTTCATTCTCCTCCCCAACCGACGTGGGATCTCACAATCCACTCCCTTCAAATGTCACGAGTTCCAAATCCAACTTTTTAACTTATTAGAATCAAAATCGAAAGTATAGAAACATATTTGAAACTTACAAGTTCAAGGTCTAAAAAAGCAAACTCAAAACTCAACCAAACCTTAAAATCTTTCACATATTCTTGAAAGTTGAAGTGCTTTTCCTTGCATAGTATTTCATCTTACAACATGTTCTTAAAGAAAACAACACTCATAGAGGATGAATTGATTAAATACATAAAGAAACACAAGGATCAGTCAACAAGCATGAGCCATATTACACAAGTTTAGTCCATAAACTTTCAAACCTTATGCTTATAATTTTAAAAGGGCTTCTTACAAGTTTCTAAACTATCAAAATCCCAACAACAATATGCCAATACAACAGTTGTTTTACACAAATTTTGTTCAAATATCCAAAACCCAGAAAAAC